CAATCTATACCTCTGATTGGATATCAAGCCCTCTTAAGTTTTCATTCTAAAACTTCTCTTTAATCTCTCTGCTTATTCATTTTTCAGTTACTCTGTCAATGTTCGTTGAACGCCTACTGTTTTCCAGATACTATGCCCAGTGCTGATAAAACAAAAATAAATCAGCTCTTGCAGTGGTAGAGGCTGTAATAGAAATAGACAGATTTTTGTAACAGTGTTATGGGCACAGGGAGGATCCACTAGCCGGTTGTGTCTGTGTGAGTCAGTGATAGTAGTGAAGCTGGGTCTTGAAGAAGGGATACCTGTAAGGCAGGGAAGGGAGGAGATGAAGGCATAGAATTTTCAAAGGACTTGGTTTGTGTGGGGAATGGTAAGAAAGTCAGAGTCACTCTAAGAAATGTGCACAGAGTGGACTGTCAGAGCCTGAGTCTGAGGATGACTTCAAGTTCCCTGGTTGACAAAGACTTCATTAACAGAGGTGAAGAAGAAGAGCTAAAGAAACAAATGTTGGATGAGTGTGACATGCACATAAGCTACCCAGCATGATTTCCCCAGTGGGCAGCGGGAAATAGAACCTGAAGTTGAGAAAAAAGGTCAGTGCTGGGGACGCCTCACCAGTGTGAGGATGGTCGAAACCATGGCAATGGCCAATGAGGTTTAGCGAGCAAGAACCTCTGAAGCTGAAAGACAACCAGTCCCCCTCTTTTACATCCTCCACTGCCCCAGCGCCCTGCTCTCCCTACCCTCAGCCTCTTCGCTCAGTCTTCCTCTAAATCCTACCACACAAAGTTGCACAGCTCTGAGCCTGCAGGTCTCCGCTTCAGGATAAAGTGCAGTCTCCGTTGCTTGGCACTTAAAGCTCTTCACGCTTTGTGCCAAATACGCCATTTCATCTTCATCTCCAAATGTTCCTTTCAGAGAAATTGATGGTCCCCCAAACAGGGTATCCACTTTCATCTCTACCGTTGCCCCACCATTTCCCCTGCCCGGGAGGCAAAAGAACATGGCTTTAGAGCCAGAAATTTTTTTATTTAAATACCAACCGACTTTTCTACTACCGAGAGATGTTAACTTGAGCAATGTACCGAATTCCTCTGAATCGGTTTCCTCACGTGCTAAAAGGTCAGATTGGATTATTGTAATTATAAGAGCGTATTTAGACATCCCTACATTGTCGTCAGCACAAATAGGTGCTCAATAAAAATTAAGTAGCTTTTATTACCATTTGTCTCTTTTCCACTTGCCATAATCCTGTTTCAAGGCTAGACATTTAAAGCTTTACACCTCTTTGAAACCTTTTTAAATGTCACAGTTCATTTTGTCCTCCTCTGTGCTTCCTTGGCAATTTATCATCACTTCAGGATATAACGCAAGTTTTCTGTTTCCTCTGCCATATTACAGATTCATTAATAGTAGACACATTATTTTTTATAGCTCTATGTACTTTGCAACAGGAAAGTAATTGTTTGAACTGAATTCTGGGAAAATCTACTTTAACATTCTCTCTCTGTCTCTCTCTCTGTCTCTGTCTCTCTGTCTCTGTCTCTGTCTCTCTCTCTCTCTCTCTCTCTCTCTGTAGCTCTTTTGAGATATATGCCTTACAACACACCCATTTGAAGTATATAAGCCAGTGGGTTTTAGTATATATACATTCAGAGTCATGCATCCATCATCACACTCAATATTTTCATTGATTGCCCTCAAAAGGAACCTTGTATCCCTTAGCGTCACCTCCCCCCCATCCCCAATCTTTCCTCCTCCCCAGTCCGCGGCAACCATTGATCTACTTTCTGTCTCTGTAGATTCGCCAATCCTGGACATTTTACATAAATGAAATCATAGAATATGTGGCCTTTGGTGACCTGCTTCTTTTACTTAATATGATGTTTTCAAGACTCATGTTGTAACATGTGTCACTACTTCATTCCTTTTTATTGCAGAAAATTCCATTGTATGATATGCCATATTTTATTTATCTTTTCATTAGTTGATGAGTGTTTAGATTGCTTCTACTATTATTATGAATAATGCTATTGTGAATAATGCTGCTGTGAACATTCATGTTCTAGTTTTTGTGCAAACATATGTTTTCAGTTCTTCTGGTTAGGCACCTCAAGTGGAATTGCTGGGTTGCATGGCAACTCTATGTTTAAACTTTTGAGGAGTTGCCAAACTGTGCACTACCTGACAATGAAAAAGAATGGAATCTTGCCATTTACAACAACATGGATGGAACTAGAGGGTATTATGCTAAGTGAAATAAGTCAGAGAAAGACAGGTATCATATGTTTTCACTCATAGGTGGAATTTGAGAACCTTAACAGAAGACCATGGGGGAAGGGAAAGGGATAGGGGAAAAAATGTTCCAAACAGAGAGGGAAGCAAACCATAAGAGACTCTTAAATACAGAGAACCAACTGAGGGTGGATGGGGGAGAGGGGAAAATGGGCAATGGGCACTGAGGAGGGCACTTGTTGGGATGAGCACTGGGTGTTGTATGTAAGCGATGAACCACGGGAATCTACCCCCAAAGCCAAGAGCGCACTGTACACACTGCATGTTAGCTGACTTGACAATTGTATTTAAAAATATATATAAAAAATAAAAATATATATAAAAAATAAAGTGCTTTAGGAAATAAAAATAAAGTAGCTGCACTATTTTAGATTCCCACCAGCTGGGTATGAGGGCTCCAGTCCATCCACATCATCACTGAGATTTGTTATTAATCTGTTTTTGATTATAGTCATCCAAGTGGAATAACATTTTATTAGTGAAATATTCTTAATTCATTCAATAAAGACTGTATTCAGTGCCAGTGATAAACCCAGATACCAATCTAAGCTATAGGACTATTGGTGAAGGAAAAAAGACAACTGTGTCTGCTCATAGGCACATAATAAATAATAAACATAGTAAGTTCTCATCTGAGCTCCTGGATAAATTGGCATTCCTTTCTTTTGTGCTGATTAGCAGGCAGGCTTTTTCTTGCACAATCATTTTTACCTGTTTATCTTAGACTTGTGGTCTGGTTTAATTTCACGACTTTGATATGGCTGTGTTCAGTCTGCTGGGAGGTTGATAAGCACTCTAGGAAAGAGAATAAAAGAAAAAGACTGATTGAGGGTGTTGGCAAAAGGGAAGGGACAGGTTGTAGGATTAAATAGGGTGATCAAGTTAAGCGACACGGAGAAGGTGAGATTTGAGCAAAAGGTGAGCAAAGTTCACTGAAGAGACAGCAGAAGAGTAGAAGAAGCCACCAGACCAGAGACCCTGAAGCAGGAGTCTGCATTGCCAAGAACAAGGAGGCCAGTGTGGCCGCATGAGAGTTAGCAAGGGGCGGAGAGTAGGAGACAAGGTTGGAGACGTTATAGGGCATAATAGTTTCCAGTTTAGCAAGTAGATATTACACGGGATATACTAATACCCAACAATTGTTCGTTATTTATCTGAAATTAAAACTTGGCATCAACCCAGCATCCTGTATTTGATCTGGCAACCCTAATCATAGGCCATTGTAAGGCCTTTGACCTTTACTTTGAGTTGAAAAAGAACCACTGCAGGGTTTGGAACAGAGGAGAGACACAACCTACTTAGGTTTTTGAAATATCGCTGTGGCTGCTGTGTTGGGAAGAGGCCAACACAGAGAGTTAAAGCGGAAACGAGGAGGCCTGGGAGGCTATTGCAGCCGTCCGGGTGAGAGATGATGAAGGCTCAGATAAGAGAGGTAGGTGGCTGTGGAGGTGGGGAGGAGTGGCCAGATTCTAGATACCTGTTGAAGGTAGACCCAAAAGGATTTCAACATGAATTGGATATGGATGAGAGAAAGAGAGGATTCAAGGATGACTCCTCAGTTTTTGGCTTGAACGACTGGAAGACTGGGGTTGCCATGGAATGAAGGGGCGGACTGTGGGTGGAGCAGTTTGGGGGAAGAATATGGATTTTATTTGGGCCATGCTGAGCTGATGATGGGTCTAATAAGATGAGGCGTCACCATCAGCCTCATCTAATTTTATGGTATTTTCCATTAAGATATCCAGTAATGTAGTAGAAAAGGTCACCCTTTCACTAGGGATAGATTTTGTGTTTTACTTATTGTGTGTTATATCTTATTATTTAAAGAGTCTTCTTCATGCCTGAATGGCTTCAAAAAAAAAAAATGCTTAGGAAAGAAGAGCCAGGATTGGAATCCAATTTCCTAGTTTCTTCTCCAGTATCCGAACTGCAAAACCAGACTGAATCCCAACGTCCCATTTTACTTGGCAATCTAACTCATTTTTCCATAGATGTTTTTCTTCATCTCCATTCACTTTCTTTCATCTACTCATCAGCCCTTGAAAGAAAAGATTCTTGCTATGCAGAAGCTCTCCTCAGTGTCCTTCCAGCAGCTGAAAATCTGCCCTGGATATTGAACAGACCATCCCCTCCTTAAAATGCCAGGAACACCGTAGTCTAAAGGCTGGATAAGTCAGAGTCCTTACTGCACTCAGAGCAGAGATCACTGTGGATGTTAGCTTGCCCTTCGCTGATTACAAGTGGTTTTCAAGATGACTCTCTCAGCTGCCTTTCCTCTTTTTACCCAAGTTCCTGGATAAAATAACTTTTTCTCCTCTCCTGATTAGCAAGCATGTCTTTTATTGCACAATCATTTTTACTTCTTCTGCTTAGACTTGTGGTCCAGTTTCATTGGACAGTTTTGGTATGGATATATTTTAAATTGTCTGCAAAGTTACATCTATAACAGGACCGTACATTTCCAAGGATCCATTGGGCAAGGAGTGGAGGAAGGTGGAGAATGTTGTTTGAGAAGAAATCTATAAACTGTGGCCTTTCTTTCCTGGAGGTCTTGTGTACTGTGTTGTTTTTAATCATAACATTCTAAATTTGCACACTCATGGAAAGCATTTTCTTTCACATAATTATTATGTTTTGGTTTTTGCTGGGAAGTACGTGCTGATTAAGTGACAAATCACATACATTGTGTTTTCTGTGTTTTGCAGGACTTGAGAGGGACAAGTTTGATAATAAAACTGTTTCATTTGAAGAACACATCAAGTCAGAACACAACATGTGGCATTATTTGTACTTCCTAGTCCTGGTGAAGGTTAAGGACCCCACCGAATATACTGGGCCTGAAAGTTATGTGGCTCAAATGATTGTGGTGAGTGATCAGAGCATTTTAACCCATGACTATGTTGCATTTTGCGTACTTTCCCCATCTCTACCCTACCCTTCTTCCAAAATGGAAAAGTTCTCCCAATCATTTGGTTAACTTCCAAATAGGACTGTCAATCTCGGAAGAATCCTCAGGCTAGCTAACTCACGGGTTCCCAGTGGACTTCTTGGTTTTATAAACCAAATCTAAGTCTCAAGGGCACAGATGACATTTACGGAAGACATTTACATTCTCTGTACAGTGAATAGCACCATCTCAGTCATGTTCGTCATCTTCTGACCCCATGTCTTTGCTAATGTCTCGGTTCCCCAAATCTGGAACTTTCCCACTGGCAAATATGAACAGAAGATGAATACTTTAAGAAATTCCTTGAATTTCAGAAATCAAGAGTTTAAGAAATTAAACTGCGTTTGGGAAGGGTATAACGTTTGCTCTCAATGGGAGAACGCTGTCTTCCTGTCTATACAATTTGGACTGTGCGTAACGATTGGCACCAATTCTGCCATACTGACTTGCTGATAACTCCTCCTTAAGATCAGTAGCAGGGGCACCTGGGTGGCTCGGTCAGTTAAACATCTGACTTCGGCTCAGGTCATGATCTCACGGTTCGCGGGTTCGAGCCCCGCATCGGGCTCTGTGCTGACAGCTAGCTCAGAGCCTGAAACCTGTCTTTGGATTCTGTGTCTCCCTCTCTCTCTGACCCTCACCTGCTCACACTGTCTCTCTCTCTCTCAGAAATAAATTAAAAACATAAAAAAAAAAAAAAAGATCAGTAGCAGAGGCTGTTGCTGTCGTCTGTGATTTGGAGTTTTTCCTGTTTCATTAGAAGATTAAAATTAAGTGGCTTAAAGAGAAGTTTAAGTTACAGCTTAGGGTATCATGACACGCATTCTGTATTATTGCATTCAATATAAATTCTTGTATTCTTATAATAAACATAGCCATATGTTGGATTTTTTTCCTCAAAAATCTTCTTACAAAATTGTGTTCACTATTGGAGAAGGAGGCTTTAGTACTGGCTGCCCAGTATGAACGATAGCATTTAGGAAACGCCAATGCCAAAGCTTCAGAGAGCCAGGTGACAGTGGCTCTGTCCTTCCTTCTGTGAGCTGGTCATGCACATAGCAAGACATATACTGCCGTAGAGGGAGCAACCAAAGAGCATGTTTGGAGGGTAACATCTTACTAAGTACAAGTAAATATTGCAGTAATTTATCTTACCTGACAATATTTATGTGTCACAGGAGAGCTACATGTAAATTGAACTTTTATTATTCCACATTTGTATCTTTTCTTCTTTTTGACTTGCATCCTCCTCTAACTTGTCCAATGTGCCTAGTAGTTTGCATCCTACTATGCAGTTGTCATTCTTTATGTGACAGTGGGTAGAACTTATTCTCCATGTTTCCTTTTCTGCCCTCTCTCCCATCTACATAAGGAAAAAAAAGTTAATCGGTTTGAAGATAGGCATTCATAGTCATTATTTATACATTCTTGATCTCAAGATGCTCAGGGACCATCTATGTGAAGTCTTTTGTGTCTACTGGAGAAAAAACATGTAGAGCATTATGTTTAAAATGAAACCTCACATTACTACATTTTTATCAAAATTTGAGTAAGTATAATTAATTTATATTTACTGGGCATCCACTGTGTCCCTTGGACTAAAAGATTTTGGAGAATACACAGAAGAGTCTGACACATTCCTTCTCTACCAGGGAATTTAGAGTTTAATAAGAGGAAGAAAGGAATAGCAACCAAAAAGTAGCATAGGCCAAGTTCCCCAAGAGTGGAGCAAATGAAAATCTGTGAAGGCTTAAAGATATAGAGTGACATCCAACTGGGAGGTGGTAGAAGGGAGTGTGTGTGTGTGTGTGTGTGTGTGTGTGTGTGTGTGTGTGTGTTGGGGGGCAGCACAGAGTAGGATTTGTGCACATTGGGGGTGTCTGTTGGATTACGAGTGAGTTCCTGTAAGAGGGGGCACCCTGAACGAAGGCACACAGGTAGAACACGCAGACATTTGGGGGACACTGGCACAGAACCCACTTGTAAAGAAGCCCTGAGAGATATTATGGGGACTTTTGAGTAATAAGTGTCAGTTTGGGCCATCATTTCATCAGGAATGGGAAGCCCCTGAAGGATTTCACTACAGGAATGATGTGGCCTAGGACAGTCATCAGGCAGTGGTACATAAGCTGGTTGGGAGAGGGGAAAGATGAAATCAGACACCGTAATTGGCAGTTGAGATTAGGGGTGGAGGACAAAATGAGCCCAAGATACCTGATATTGTGAGCCTGGTCCCTGAGAGAAAGGTGGTGGGTATCAGAGTCAGAAGGTCTTCTGCAAGAGGAGAAGCTGGTCAGGGAAGAACACTTATTGATTGTAAAAAAAGACTAGAAGCAAAGTCATAAATTAGGAGGGACAGGGCAGTAATGACAACATGAGCCTTAGAATCAGAAAGATCTGGGCTTAAACCTTAGCTCTGTCACTTATTTGCTGGGTGGTCTGGGATATCTTGGGCAAATCTTTGAACTTACCATACAGGGCCTCTGTGTTCTCATCCAAAAGGGAGAAAATTGCTGTGACATCAGTGAGATGATATGTTAAACGTGGCTAGCACTGGAGGTACTCGGTAATTGACAGTCTTCACTGTGACCGTCCACACGAGTGACAGTTGAAGCCCTCAAATTAGAGAGATGAGAGAAGGGAGAATGTGTAACAAGAAAGGCAGAGAAAGCCAGAGCCAGAACATGGGGGATTCCCCCATTCAGGAAAAAAGAAAGACACATAAAACAAGTAGAAAGGAAGACAATAACAAGGGCAAAAGGAGAACCAGGAAGTAGAGTATGTCAAAAGCCAAGCCTTGCAATGTCAGTTTCAACAGCATCAGTTGCTGCAGAGAGGCCATAAAGAAGGCACAAGTCAGACAGAGCCTTTGGGTTTTGTAATAAGGAAATCACAGGCGGCTTTTACCATAAAACAGTGCTGACCTCTCTTAAGCCTTAACATTAAAATCAGCATTTGGCCAGGCACCTGTACATGAATTTTTAAATGCCCACATCCATGTTTCTGTCCATCCTTTTCCCTCAGCTCTCTCCAGAACCATGACGGGAGGGAGGAGAGCTCGTAAGCTCATTCCAGTCTGAGCTGTCTCATTCTCATCCAAGCAGGGCACATCCAAGACAACCAGCACTGTTTCTGAATTTCAATGGCCAGGAGAAGGAAGAGTGAAATTATTAAGCTCAGGACTGATGGAAACAAAAAGTCATTTGCACCAAAGACTATTCATTTACTGGAATCGCCTTTCTGGAAAAGTTCAAAATATCTGTAGCTAATGAACCCAATTTAGAAAGTCTGTGACTCTAAACTCTGTGGAGATTACGGTCTTGAAATCCTGATCTTCCGAGAGAGAGAGACAGAGAGACAGACAGAGAGAGAAGATTTTAGAGCACATAGCAAGTTGAATCACATCTATAACTCAGTTCAAACTGTGTGTCTTTTCTCTCTCCAAGCCAGAGGTAACTACTTTTAATAGTTTGGTAGGAAATCTTCCAGACATTTTCCTACCACCTTTATTTTTGCTCCTTAAAAATAGCTTCATTTACCAAGCTGACTTAAGTGCTTGTTTATCAGTAGAGCTTTGAAAGCTTAAAATTCTTCATAATTGATGTAGCTCTTACCCTCAAGGATTTATGCAAAGGAAAATGAGGAAGTTCCTCATATTCACAAGACAACTCATCTGAATTCTGCCACACCGCCGAAGTACATCTGATTTGTACTTTGGGGCCCTTAGGAAGTGCCTCCTTCCTTTTGGTGACGTGAGGAAAGCAAGAATATAACAAATCAAGGGATATTTCTCCCTTCTATATAGTTTTTCACCTCTAGTGCATCAACTTTATTACTCTGTCAATATAGAATATTTATATCAATATGCATTAAAACATACATTGTAAATACATCTCTTTCTAGAGGTTAGAATCTAAATATACTTGTTCCTCTACATCCATCCAGTGATAAGCTCACGACTCTGAAATATGAAAAAATTTAAACCTCCCTTGCCCTTGCCTTCAGACATGACAGTAAGCCATTTGAGTATCAGCCACTGTGAGTGCCTGAGTGAACGCGAAGCATCTTCTGGGATATTGTTAGGGGAGATGTGAGTTGATCAAGGTACTGGGGGAATATATTTTCTCCTGGCAAGCGAGCCCTCAGTTTGGATAAGAGAATTGATATTTTGAGCTAGTATTTACTGGGAACAGAAAATGAGCAGAGAAAAGGAAGGCCCATGCTGGAAAGTAAAAGTAATGAAAGGGAATCCAGTGAACTGGAGGGAAGGGTATAAAAGGATAAATCCTCCAGCCTGTACTAGTAATGGCCTTTGAGCATCGCTAAGCCCTTTCGCGTCTCCCATTACCTAAAGGATGATGACTGAGGAGGAACAAACAAAATAGAGATCATTAGAAAAAGTGCGCAAGGCTTTTAGATGTTTCTCTAACATTTTGAGGACATTTTTAGATTTTCAGCGTTCATTTGCTGAAATATGACAGTGGCCTTTGGGGATATTTAGTACTTACTTTGGCAAACAGAGGGGTCAAAACTGCAGGTGTTGTGAGAGGTGCGTTGTGCACGTTCAGAGAACCACTGCCTTGCCGGTGTGCTCAGATCGACTGGGCTGCAACCGAGACCCTGGCTGGCCACCCTCATCAGCGCGGGTTTTTGGGGATCACTTCCTCATTTTAGTACATGACACTCTTCCACTCTTCCACTTACTTGACTCTTAACTAAAAACTGTTTCCTGCTAGCATGGCGATTGATGGCAACTAGGACAATTGAACTCATGCTTTTGTTAACATAACAATGGTCTTGACACTAAAAATAGCTGTAAGTTTCTTGAAGGCCGCGATGGAGAAGACAGTAACCCTTGGTCCTTTGTAATAGCAGGGCAGGTAGTATCTGTAATATGCCTTAAAGTCAATTTCATGAAC